AGCCGAGCGAGGCTCGGGGACAACCTGTACCTAGGTGGCGACGGGGGCTCCATCTGTGCGCCTCCTCGGGGCCTGGGGTTCTCTCCAGAGTCCAGGGTTCATGCCCAGGGAGCGCCTGGCCATGTGGCCCACGCTTCGCCCCTGTTGCATAAACCTCCCAGGGGGACCAGGTGTCCTGCAAGCCCGGACCTCCCCATCCATACACCCGCGGCACAGCCCCCCTCACCCGAACTCTTCCGGGGGCCGAACTGGGGAAAAAGGGAGACCCTCAGGTCAAGCCACAGTCTGCATTCATCCCGGGGGACCCAGTCCGCCAAGTGAAGGTCGCAGGGCCTCAGCTTCCCCAAGTGCTCAGTGGAACGCCTGGCGAGGGGTGGGGTGTACCAAAGACTCCTCCGGATTGCAGGGTCCCAGCGTCCCCAGAGCCGAGGGTAAAGGGCGCCTGTCACCTCCAGCCCAGGGACATTGAGGACCCCTCTCCTCTGCCAGTGGGGCTGAGGTGTGACTCCTCACCACCTGGTGACTGGTGAGGCCCAGGGCTGCCTGGGAAGTGGGGTAAATGGAAGCCTTCCTATAATCAGGGGACACCTGTGGGACACCTCCAGTGGGTAAGGCGCAGGTTAGGGAGAAGGGTCCCCCTCCTCTTGGAGCCAGAGGCCAAGGTCAGGGAGGACCTGAAACAGCCCCAGCCTCCTCTTCTCCTCCCGGACATGGGCGGTGGGTAACCAGGGCTCCCTTGTGGAATGCTCTCACCTCCACCTCGCGGGGAAAGGAGCACGGTCTGAGCCAGGAAGCCACTCGGCACCTCAGGCGGCCTTTGGGGCCACCCCTCCCCACACACCTTGCCCCACTCCGCAGGTCTAACATGGCCACGTAAGGGAGCCGTGACGTTCTGCACTGTGCCCAGGCTTGACCCTGCACCAGCACCCTTTCTGTGACTCAGTTTCCCTACCGATGACGAGTCAGGAGGTCTCTTCCAGCCTACCCCAGCCAGGGGCCAGAGGAGGGTCTGTGCTGTCCCATTACTGGAGAGGGAGGGAAGGTCTGAGGGTGCCAGGGAGCTGGGAGTTGGGGGGAGAGGTCGACTGGGACCCTGACCTTGGAGGGAGGGGATCACTGAGTGGGGTGGCCTGAGCCAAGTCATCAGCTTGGGTAGTATGAAAGAGGATCCCCTGTTAGTGCTTAGGACTCAGCATTTAGTAAGTGCCTATTGTTTGCACCCTGGTTCTCACTGTGCCTCAGGCCTTAGGAGAGGGTGGCATCGGTCAAGAACCCTCGGTCCTCCTCTTCCTCCTGGTCCTTATGGTTCTGCCAAAGGGCCAACACCACCCGCTCGCTGGAGCTCCTCCAGTCCTTGGAGTCTTCCATTCCAGGCCTTGGGAATAATTTCTGATTTTATGCACCAATGCACCCATCTTCCAGGAAGGAAGACCGAGGTAGAGGTGAGGGGCGGGGCTGGAAGTGAGTTTAGCCCTCCCTGTGGGGATTCAGGGTCTGGGGAAGGAGGGAGGCGATGTGGCTACGCCAAACCCCAGCCTGAGTCCCCCAGTCCTTACCCTGCAACAATCACAGATAATTAAAAAGAATCGTGGGGTCTAAAAATCAATCGGCCGCCATAAACATGATAGCGTCCCGGGCTCCAGGCAGCGAAGGCCGCGTGGGGGTGGGGAAGCAGAAGCGGAAGGAAGGTGTCCGGCGGGGAGCTCAGGGGGGAGTGGGGTTCGGGACGGGGCGCAGTTCCTGCTTTACATTCTGTTCCCTACAGTTCGGCCACCACTTTCTATAGGATGCCTGTGGCTTTTCTGGGAGGGAAAGGATCCATTTTAAAAGAAAAGAGGTGGCTTGATGGCTTTGAGACGGCGTCCTCCACTCTGCTGCCCCAGGACATCCTAAGAGGGACAGACCCCCCACCTCCCTAACCGGGGAGGGGTCTCCCAGCCCCGTGAACGGGTCTTACCCAGGTGTGTGCAGCACCCCGCCCCCAGACCCCTGTAGGCCGGGGATTCGGACTCTTCCCGGAAGGGAAGTCTCATTCTTGGCCCCACCGGGAAATGGAGCAAAAATTTGAGGCCCCAGGGAGGGAGTGTGGCCCCTGGAGACCTAGAGTCCACGTCCCCCACCAGCGGCCTTTCAGTAATTAGTAAAATAGAATTGAGCCAGCGGGGGCAGGCAGGGGGCTGGGCTGATCGATCTTGGGTCATTAGGCAAATTGCAAGTGGGGGAGGGTCGGGCTGGATGGGAGCTGGGAGCCCCCTTCGCCGCCCTTGTGGGGACCTTCCCCACCTCCCAGAAACTCTGGGCTCAGCACCCCTCCAGGAAAATTGGAGGGCCCCTCCAAAGTCCTCCTATACGCCTAGAGGTGCTTCAGCACGTGCTGGGCTGCCGTGGGTAGACACCTACCCTCTCTGTGCCCACCCCAGGCCTGGGAAAATTCTAGAAACACAGTCTCCGGCCCGATAACCCGAGGGCTGAGAGTCATTTTACTGAAGAAAAAGAAAGGCTGGGGCTGCCTCTCTTCTTGCCCTGGGGTTCAGCAATCTGGTCCTCCGACTCCACGCCCCTCACCAAGCTGAGCGTTCCTCAGTCGGTATCCCCTGCGCACCTCCTTCTTGGCCGCCTGCCTTTCCAGGTCTCAAGGGCAGCTACACATTTTGGAGCGGTTAGTGACCCAAAATTTTCCTTTCTGGGGCCTCCCCCAGTCCCCTCCGCGGTCCGCAGCAGATCCCCTGATTAAATGTCTCCCACGGATATAAAACTCATCAGCTGTGGTAGACACTTCTCCTTTTTTTATTAGAGCGAGGTTTTAACAAATGATGGCGGTTAAAGCCCCCTCCAGCCCCGGATCCGCCCCGGCTCCTCCCCCAGCCCCCAAAACTGTGGCACCTCACATCCCAGCCTTTAATTCCAGCTTGCCCCAGACCTGTCGCCTGCCTCCCGCCGCCTTCGTTCGGGCGAGGTCGAGGACTCAGGTTGGCTGGGGAGGGCACCGGCCTCTCGGTGCTGGTGGGGGTCCCCACCGCGTTGCGCTACGCCCCAGGGCTCCAAGGCGGGACGCTGGGCCCGAGGACGGCCCGAAAGCCGCACCCCGGGCTTCTCGACGTTGGGGTTTCGCCCCTGGCGGTCGGGGGCGCACGGCCAGCGGGTGATGTTCCTCCGGCTCTTCGGAGACAGCTGCGCGCGATCGATCCCTGCGCCCGCCCGGGCTCTGTCGCCCCCGCCGCGGCCGCGGCGCCATCGAATCCTCATCGCTCTTGGGCCGCGCCACCCGCCGCGCCCTCCGCAAACAACGCGCTTGTTTGAGCCGGGCAGCGAGGCTGAGCAGCCCTGGGGCCCCCGCGTCCCGGTCCCTCCTCTCTGGAGTTGGAAGGACGCAATTAGAGGAGGAAATTGCGCTCCCCGTCACCGCCTCTCGCAGCCGGGGCGGGTTTGGGGCGCACCATCCTGCCTACGCCTCAGTTTCCCTCCCGGAAAGCGACGCGCTGAGCTGGGGGATCGGAGGGCGCCGAGGGGAGAGGAAACGCCGAGGCCGACCCAGAGCCACCGGCCCTCCTGCCGCGCCCTCCGGCTGCTGTCGCTTCCTGTCGCAAGGCCTGTCCGGGGCAGATTACGAAAGTGGGCTGGGGACAAGAGCGCGCCCCCTGCGCCAGCCTTGGACCCTCCTTTCTCCTGTCCTTGGAGATCGTCTGTCCTCACCGTGCGCTCAGGAAACCACTACAGGTTTGCAGTGCAGTTTGCACTATGGGAAACTGAGGCAGGAGGGGCAGGGAGCTGGCTGCGGCCTCGTAGAAGGCGGGGAAGCAAGCGGGACAGGCGGGGTAGGGCCTCCAGCACGCGCCCCAGCCGGACTCGGCTCAGCGACGCCCGGCGCTGCAGGGCCCGGGCTGCCCGGGCGCAACGAAACCCGGGTCCAGCGCGCACTCGGGAGGGACGCGGAGGGATGGGCGCCCCCGCGCCGCGCGCCGCCGGGACCCCGGGCGGGCCGCAGTTAATCCCCTGTAGCCCGCTGCCCGGAAGGTAAGCTCGTTTGATGATTCAAAATGTAAATATATATATTTCATTCCCAGCGCTGTCCTGGAGGAAACGGGGCACGCCGCGGAGGCCCGGTGGCCCTGGGGGCGTCTCCGGGTGGGGCTCTCCTGGGAGCTGGCTTTGCGCTGCCCGAGCTGCTGGAGCTGGGAGCTGTTCGGTTCCACGCCCTGAGGTGTCCCTGGCTGTGACTGAAGGACGGGCCCAGGACGGCGCCGTGACAGCGCCGCTCCCCAGACGTGGAGACCCAGGTGCCAGCCCGGGTGAGGTCCCGGCCTGGGGACAGCCACACGCAGGTGGGTCGCACCTCTGGCCCAGAGCGGGACCTGGCGCTTTCCCGGCAGACAGAGCTGGGGCCCCATTTACTTGCCGGGTATCTGATCACACTCGACCTTTCCTCCAATCCGCCTCGAGGGGGAGGGGAGGCCCTGAGTACCTGCCCCCATCCCGATGCCCCTTCCTTGACCTTCTGGGCGGTGCGGGGTCTTGGGACTGAGGAAAGGGTGCTGAAGTTTCATCCCACAGAGTATGCATGCTGGGGTGGGGGAGGGGAGCTGGGCCCATCACTTGATTTAATAAACCTCTCTGTGCACCCCCACTCTGCACCTGGGACCCCAGCTTTGGCTCCTGTCCCTGGAGCTCCCAAACTTGGGAAGGGAAGATAGTTACTAGGCTGCCACCCCCATCCAGCTCAGGTCAGGACTGAATGGAGGTGTGTGTGTGGAGGGAGCAATCTCTCCCTTCCTAGAAGAGGCTGGGTTTTGTAGGATGTGTAGGAGTTGGGGTCAGATAGGTAAATCAAGGGATGAAAAGACTCCTTGTCATTTGGAGGGGAAGGAAGTGCGGCGGGTCAGAAATCTGGCATCGGCCCAATCTCGGGCACCTCAGAGGGCTTCATTAGGAAATATTTGTTGAGTGAGTTGATTAGGTAAAGCTGGGAGACAAAGCTGCAAGCCAGGCCTTGAACGCCAAGCTGGGGGTGGGGGCGGGGTTGGGCAGTTAGGCTTTCCACGTGTGTCTGTCGGGGAGCTATTTGTTCCTGAGCCCGAAAGTGAGTCGCGGAGTGCGGAGTGCGGGAAGGAGCGTCTCTGCCTCCTTCAGTCCAGGACAGCCTTTCTCCCTTCCCGGTTCCCGGGGAGCCACGCCCCTCAAGGTTCAGCTCCAGCTCTGCACCCCAACTCTGCCTGGAGGGGAGCCGCCCCGGGGAGGCTGCCTGGTGCCATTTGTCAGGGGAGGAAACTGAGGCCCAGGTTGCCTCTGATTCACCCCCGGCCACCAGCTGACCTCCAGGCCTGCGGACGGGGTGGCCAAGGCCAGGTCTGTGCTGACGGATTCGGCGTGTCCCGTGCGGGCGGCCCGCAGCGGCGGGGTCTCGCTGAATCCCAGGGAAGGGAAGAGGGTTCCAGGGGCACAGAGCTGTCCCCTCACAGCCCCAGGGGACCCGGGGCCCCCACACCCAGGCCAGAGACAGGAAGCCCGGGGGAGGAGGGTAAAGGGGATTTGCGACCCTGCTCGCTCCGGGTCCCTCCAGGCTACCGTGGCAGTGGTCAGCAGCGGAGGGGCCGGAGCTGGGGGGCCGCCGCGGCCAGGGGGCGCTTCTCGCTGGGCCTGTTTCTCCCACCGGGAAGACGAAGGGGACCGCTAAGCTCTTTAAGAGATGGGGGTCCCATTCCTTGAAAAAAAGTTAGGATCTCTGAGGAGCTCCCCCAACCTCCTTTCTGCCACTTTTTTTTTTTGAGACAGGGTGGAACTTGTGGCATCCTCCTGCCTCACCCTGCAGTGCTGGGAGGATTTGCGCACCTCAGCTGCACACCCTGCTCTACCCTGACCTTGCTCCCCGTCCCTCCCCTCCCCTCTCCTCTCTAACACAGGCCCCACCGCCTGGCTCCCCCCTTGCAGGGCGGCGGCCTCTGCATTTCACTGCCGGTTGCAGGCGGACTCTCCGCACCCCGGGCTTTGGTTACAGCTTCTTTGGCTTCAGGCTGGAGACACGAAGCTCCCTGGCCCCTCTGCGGCCTCTCCGCAACCCCCAGGCTGCAGGTGAGCGGGAGAGGTGGGCACACCGCCCTCCTGTTTGTCATAGTAAAGAGGCCCCGGGAGCTCTCTTGGGATCACAGCACCAGCATAAAGAGGAAGGTGCTGGGCAGGCCCTGAACGGTCATCTGACCTGAGCTTTGCTTGTTTTACAGGAGGGGAAACAGAGGCAGGCCCCAGTGCAGATGTCTCTCTCCTGCCTGGAACAATTACAGACGTTCTGAGCCGAGAAGAAAGCAGACACGCGGAGCGGGGGCACATGTAGATGTGCTTAGTCTGCATGGCCGCTTCACAGGTGGGGAGACTAGCCTGGCTTCCACCCTGGCTGTGGAGGCTGCTGGCACCCCAGCCCTTTCAGGCACCATCCCCTGCATGTTCCGAGGGAGCCCCTGTTCTGGTGGCTTTGCCTTCACAAGGTTAAGCACACATGCCAGATTTGCAAATCCCCATGCCCGCCGCAGTGACCCTTCAGGAGCCTCAGTTTCCCCATTTGTGCAACAGGGATGGAACATGCTTGCAGTGGGTTGCTGCAGGACCCAGAGAGATGCCAAGGACCTGTGACAGGCAGAGGACTGAGATCTGTCTGGGCAATTCGCACAGACAGGTGGGGGAGAGCGGCCGGAGGGGCCCTGAGAGGCAAAGGGGGAGGACGGGCACTGAGGGGAGGGCCTTGCCTCCTACAGGAGGCCCCCACCAGCCAGATTGATTTCCTATCGATCCTGGGGGGGCCTGCTGGGCGCTGGATGGAGGCTGGAGGCCTGCAGAGGGGAAGGGGAGCCCTGGGGCTGCATCTCCAGCCTTGAGGCCGGGAGCTGCGTGGCTTGGCTGGAGGAGGAGTGCCTCATGCACCGGGTTGAGAGTCTATCTGTGGGCAGCCCAGCCCCCAGAGTGCTCAGACCTCCCCGGGTTCAGCTTGTGTGTGGCAGAGGCAGAGGGGCTGGGGCTGGACAGCCTCCTTTATTTTGAGGCAGGGTCTCACTGGGTCACCAAATCACCCAGGCTGGGTTCCAACTTGACATCCTCCTGCCTCAGCCTCCCAGAGCTCTGGGATGACAAGCAAGCATGACAAGCATGCCCCCAATGGGGAACCAGGAACCAAGGCTCAGTGTCCCCAGTAGGGGGCTGCTGAGAGGAGCCTGTTATACACCTGCTGTGACCAGGGGCACCACCGCTCCTGCTGCCTGCGGGAGCACTGACCACTGGCCCTGGCTGGCAGCGTCATGGGCTGCTTCGCTGGTACCCAGGAGCCTGGGCAGGCATGGCTTGGCATAACCTGGTGTCCCCTCCGCCTTCTTAGGCCGGCGGAACTTGTCCGGGCTGAGCCTGGCTGGACGAGATGCTGGAGGGACCGGTTCCCTGAAGCAGCAGTGGGGCTTTTCTGCGAGTCTGTGTGTGTGAGTCTGAGTTTGGGGTGACTGTGCTGCTGATGAGTCCCCTCAGGTCCTCTGCCAGCTGACCCCTACAGCTGGCTCAGGGTTGCTTCCCTGGTTTGTGCCACATGTGTGCTTTAACTCGAGGCAGGCTGTTCAACTAGAGGTATGGCCTTTGCTCTCCAGTTTCCAGAAAGATTGGGGCAGAAGGAATCACAACGAAGCCAGGGACAGAGAGAGAGCAAATTAGAACAGAGGCTGAGACAGGGAGCTCAAAGGGAAGTCGGTCTCCAGAATCCACAGCAGGTGGTCCTGAACGCTTGCCGCACAGGGGCTTCAGTTTTCACTCTGACCTTCCTAGCCAGCAATGCAAAAAGAGAAATACTGCACGCATGTCATAGCTCTGTCCGTGCAGATTTCTGTAGCTGTTTGAGGGCATGGATATTCACCTGTGTGCTTCTGCGCAATCCCAAGCGAGCCATCGCTGGCAAATTCCTTTTTTTTTTTTTTTTTGAGACCAGGTCTTTGTAGCTAGGGCTGGCCTTGAACTTGCAATTTTCCTGCCTCAGCCTTCCTATCCTTTTTTTTTTTTTTTTTTGCCGTACCGGGGATCAAACTCACAACCTTGCACTTGCCAGGCAAGCTCTTATGCCACTGAGCTATATCCCCAGCCCCGGCCTCAGCCTTCCAAGTGCAGGGATTACAGGCACATGTCACCACGCCCGGCTTGGCTGACAGAATCCTAAAGAGATTCATCCTGATTAGTCTCACCCCCTCCAGATGTGGCAGATGTGCTGGTGGTCACTGCCATGATTC